AAACACTGGGGTTATATTTCCGACAGTGAAACATGCCATGTCCACAGCTCAAACGATCTCTTCACTACATCGGTGTCTCAAGAGGAAATGTCTCTGTGCTATGATCAGAACAACCTCATGACCACAGCATTGAGGCTCATCGGAGCATGATTGTTTTTCCTGGCTCAGTTTGCTGTCCTGACTCAGCTCCATACTTCAGGCTGATAATTTGGCACTTAGCTGCTGGGGTTCTGCTTAAACTCTAGCCACCACACACCCATCGCTATTAATATGTTTTCAATTATGCCTTGATTGACTGTGAGGCTTCTTCAATTCTACGTAGACCACCACCGGGTAATGATGGCAATGATCTTGAGAGATCGTTCACCCCTGGAGGAATGCAATAAAGATGTAATGCATGTCTAATTCTTAGCCTTGTAAGAAACCTATCAGAAGCCCTTGACACAAATATCATGGATTATTTCCCATATGCGGACAATGAGTGTTATCCTTGTACCCTTGGCAAAATCGCAGCACACTTTGTGAGTCTGAATATATTGATTTCCTAGACGGAGATTAACCTCATTTAGTGAATCAAGTAATATGAAAGCTTACGCTATAAGTCCTCCATACACCAGCTCTTTCTAAAGTTCCTTCCTAAACCTTTTTTTGCAGTGTATAAAGGTTATGCAAAATGCGATCTGAATGCATGTTTGAAAATGAAACCTGGAAATTAGCCTATTCCACTCGTTTCCCTCTTCCCCCCTTGCCATTCGCATTACATGAGGTTTTTTCATAGAGTGATAGATTTGTAGAGCGGGGGCGGAAAGAAAGAGAATTTGTACTTGTGATGGAAATCCTTCAAGAATTCCAAATGGGTTTCTGATAGAATCAACATAACATTAGACTCTATTTTTAAACCCATTAATCTAAACTATGTGAAAATATATTTTACTTGAAGAATACTATGATCCTCTATAATAGAAGAAGAGTTTGGATTTGATATCCCGCCTTTCACTCCCTTTAAGGAGTCTCAAAGCGGCTAACCTTCTCCTTTCCCTTCCTCCCCCACAACAAACACTCAGTGAGGAGAGTGGGGCTGAGAGACTTCAGAGAAGTGTGACTAGCCCAAGGTCACCCAGCAGCTGCATGTGGAGGAGCGGGGAAGCGAACCTGGTTCACCAGATTACGAGTCCACCGCTCTTAACCAGTACACCACACGGGCTCTCAATATTTATTGGTTGCAACTAGATTTCCTTATGCTGAGTTTTGGGACCAACTCCACAAAGAATAAGTGTTTACTAAAGAATTCTGAGACAATGGCTGGGCCCAAGGGTAACACATAACCATGGCTTGTGCTAAAGATGATAACAAACCCATGCAATAGCTGGATCTTCCAAATGTACAACAGACAAACTGTGGATTTGAAATGCTTTATCTGCTTTTGTTGCCCATCTGCACAAACTGTGGTCCCAAAGAAACAAGGAAGTGGGCAAGCTTTAGACCATACATTTAAACAAACCATGTTTTCACATGAACCTTGCCAATGGAATTGATTAAATGAATTCTGATGGATTTTTACTTCATAAATTTTAAACAGTGCATGAACTGTTGCAACGGATTGTTCAATTTATAATCCTAGAAATATAAACCAGTCATAGTTAAGTGGTTTCTTGTTGTTGATATATTTAAAGAAGAGTACCACTTTTCTTGAAAGTTAACTTGGTTTAAAATGGAAAAGTAAAAAAATAGAATATCAAAACATATTGATACTCAGTCGATGTTGTTTAGTCGTTTAGTCATGTCCAGCTCTTCATGACCCCATGGACCAGAGCACACCAGGCACTCCTGTCTTCCACTGCCTCCTGCAGTTTGGTCAAACTCATGTTTGTAGCTTTGAGAACACTGTCCAGCCATCTCGTCCTCTGTCGTCCCCTTCTCCTTGTGCCCTCCATCTTTCCCAGCATCAGGGTCTTTTCCAGGGAGTCTTCTACTCTCATGAGGTGGCCAAAATATTGGAGACTCAGCTTCGGGATCGAACAGTCGAATCCTGATCAGTCGAACAGTTTAGTTTAGTTGATTATAGTCTCTCCCAAATTTGGAATTACAATGGGTTGGAAGTTCCTAACACTGGCCGGATTGTGCCATTTTACATGAAATACAATAACCAAAATCACAAGCATCAAAACTGGTTTAGAATATTCCTTGCACGTGATTTTCCAGAAACTAAGGATGACAAATTGCCAGCTTTCATGACCTTTCCCAATGAAACAGGGATTTTGTGCTTGAAATTAGCAGCAAATCCTTCATGTACTTTGCTGCCTCTGTGAATAATGCATACATTAGAGGTAGCATGAAACAGGTAAGCCTTGCAGGTTGACTCGCTTTATGGATTAAAGACTAAGGTAAAAAAAAAAGCCTAACCCTTTTTTGTATGACAGTCTGTTAAATATTAAAGGAATTCCTGTCTTTATACAGCTGATAATAAATTCACTTTTCTATTCAGTGTATTCACTTGAGATTTACATTATTCTCATAAACCTTGTAATATTTTTTTACCTCTGATTTCCACTGCCGGGATACTTTTTATAATAATAGATTTTATCCCAGTGAGACTGTGAATATATTGATCACAACCCCAACCCCCCACTCTTGGGAGCTTCCCTAATGACGAAATAGTGACCTCTCACTTTAACACACAGAGGAGAGAGAGAAAATTTCTCCAGGATTTTCAGGCCTTCTTTTAGTTTAGTGTAAGATATTGCATTTTTAGTTAGCTATGAACCTATTTTTTCTGTAATATAGATCAGATTTCTACACACACACACACACACACACACACACAAACTGTATATATAAATAGGAAAATTGCATTGACTAGAACCTTCCTTTTAGGAGTATTAATCCTACAATAAACACCCATCTGAAAGTGTCCACCTGCACGAACACCAAGGTTGAGAAGAAATGCTGGCATAATGGTTAGAGTATGGGACTAGGACTTGGGGAGACCAGAGTTCAAATGAAACTCACTGGGTGACCTTGGGCCAGTCACTTTCTCACAGCTTAACTTACCTCGCATGGTTGTTGTGATGATAAAACAGGATTAGAATCACGTACATCACACTGAGTTCCTTGGAGGAAAGGTGGAGAATAAATGTAATAAGGAAATAAATGTGACCTGTCAGGCTTCAGGGAATTGGTCCTGCCCTGTCCCCCATCCCCCGCTGTGGCAGTAGATAAGCAGAACAAAGGAAAAGGAGTCTTCTTACCAGTTATAATCTTTAATGATCACAGCGAGACAACAACGAATCCATTTCCTAGGAATGACGGTGCTCCCAATTAAGGGTCCATCCACTTCCTCCCTTGTCACCCCCGTCACTACCACGTCTTGCAACCTGATCTTGTAACCGCTGTGCTTTCTGTGCTGCCACCTTATCTGCTTTCCTTGACCTTGGGCTGAGCGGATGGACACTTTCCAGAGACAGTCTATTAACTCTGTCTTCCCCAGTGCTGTTCCCCATCCAGTATTTCCCGGCTTCTTTCTGAACTATGTCCCTCTGCAAACCACTGTTCCAAATCTATACTGTCCTCCTGCTCCTGGGAAGATTCGGGATCCTGATCAGGAGCAGGGGGGGGGAGGCTCCCACCATCATGATGATGATGATGTTGCTGTTTTTTGTGTTGAATATGTAAAGGTAAAGGGACCCCTGACCATTAGGTCCAGTCGCGGATGACTCTGGGGTTGCGGCGCTCATCTCACTTTATTGGCCAAGGGAGCCAGCGTACAGCTTCCGGGTCATGTGGCCAGCATGACTAAGCCGCTTCTGGCGAACCAGAGCAGCGCACGGAAATACTGTTTACCTTCCCGCCAGAGCGGTACTTATTTATCTACTTGCACTTTGACGTGCTTTTGAACTGCTAGGTTGGCAAGAGCATGGACCGAACAATGGGAGCTCACCCCGTCGTGGGGATTCGAACTGCCGACCTTCTGATCAGCAAGCCCTAGGCTCAGTGGTTTAACCCACAGCGCCATGTGCTATATGGTAATTTATGAAAAGCCATTTACACAGTAACAAAATATGTACATCATAGGAGCCTACACAACACAAAACACTGTATGTAGGTTTTCTATTATTTGTTTTTTTTTTAATCTTATATTTTGGAAATGTACATCCAGGTTTTTTCCCTTTAAATTTTTTTGGGGGGACCCCCATGAGAGTGGGGCCCTAAGCTATAGCTTGTTTAGCTTATCCAGCACTGTCTGCAGTGCAGTGTTCAGAACTGCTTCCAGTTCCGGAAAAGCTCTATGGGAAGAGTTTCCTCATTCCATCTTCCCTTGAGCTTTAATAGAAACATTGGAAGCCAAAGATGCTAATTTGTGAGCGCCTAAGATTGATGTGATTTTGCTTCTAAGGAATACTCTCCCTTCAAAACACGCAGAAAAACGTTTTCCACAGGGTTTTTTGGTGTGTTTTTTAATGTAAAAAGACTTCCCTTAAAACAACAGAAACAGCTCTCTGGTGTACAGCAGGCCGGACTCACCCTGCTGCCCATTTCTATGCTTATGGGATTGCTTGGCTTCCAAAAGACATTTAGGAAATGCAGGAAACCAGAAAGGCTGCAAAGTACAGATAGATGAGTGGAAATGTTGATTTTAAAATTTCCAAAATGGATATGGATGTGTGAGCTTCCAAGCTTAAGGACATAGATATAGAGAAAAAGGGGAGGCAGCTGTTTGACCTGAGCTGATTTCTTAATGAATGCCAGAGATGGCTGTAGATTAACGGTAACTCATTTATTGCCTAAGGATGACTAAACAGCAGTCCAAACAAACTCACTAATTCAGAACTTCCTTGTGCTCCATTTCTACAGTTCTCATCCCACTTTCCATACCTGTACCATACTAAACAACAATAACAAATCATAGATGAGAAAATAGTGTATATAGGATCATAGAATTGTTGAGTTGAAAAGGACCATGAGGGTCATCTAGTCCAACCCCCTGCAATGTAGAAATCTTTTGCCCAGCATAGGATTCGAACCCATGACTCTGGAATTAAGAGTCTCATGCTCTACCAACTGATCTATCTTTGGGGTGTTCAAACACGTACACTATGCCTTTGAAGAACATTCAAAGCACATTTTTCCGTCTAAATAATTATGAGCACTGTAGTTTGCTAAGACTTGTTGGGAATTGTAACTCTGTGAGGGCTGAACTACTTTGCCCAGAATTAGTTGAGTGGGGAAATGTGCTTCAAATGTTTCAAGATCTCGTTTGTACAACGTTAGTGTATGTGGCAGTGTTCGGATCATCATAAAGAATGAGTTTGGAGAAAGGCACACAGAAAAAAAGCAAACTGACCATTTTAAGTTTGAGCAGGAAAGATGATAATAGAAGCAGGTCAAAATTCTCTGAAAGTTTTAAAGACCTGCTCTCAAATATATTCAAGTTTACTTTTTTAAAAAACGTGTATTTTAAGAGCATTTGTTGTGTGGTTACTTCAAAGCAACAACAACCCTATACTAACAACTATAACAAGGTATTCAGTGCCAAGTAGAGGGGCAATTCCTTGTATGGTTGTTGTTGTTGTTGCTTAGTCGTTTAGTCTTGTCTGACTCTTCGTGACCCCATGGACCAGAGCATGCCAGGCACTCCTGTCTTCCACTGCCTCCCGCAGTTTGGTCAAACTCATGTTGGTAGCTTCGAGAACACTGTCCAACCACCTCGTCCTCTGTTGTCCCCTTCTCCTTGTGCCCTCCATCTTTCCCAACATCAGGGTCTTTTCCAGGGAGTCTTCTCTTCTCATGAGGTGGCCAAAGTATTGGAGCCTCAGCTTCAGGATCTGTCCTTCCAGTCAGCACTCAGGGCTGATTTCCTTCATAATGGATAGGTTTGATCTCCTTGCAGTCCATGAGACTCTTAAGAGTCTCCTTCAGCACCATAATTCAAAAGCATCAATTCTTTGGCGATCAGCCTTCTTTATGGTCCAGCTCTCACTTCCATACATCACTACTGGGAAAACCACAGCTTTAACTATATGGACCTTTGTCGGCAAGGTGAGGTCTCTGCTTTTTAAGATGCTCTCTAGGTTTGTCATTGCTTTTCTCCCAAGAAGCAGGTGTCCTTTAATTTCGTGGGTGCTGTCACCATCAGCAGTGATTATGGAGCCCAAGAAAGTAAAATCTCTCACTGCCTCCATTTCTTCCCCTTCTATTTGCCAGGAGGTGATGGGACCAGTGGCCATGATCTTCGTTTTTTTTATTTTGAGCTTCAAACCATATTTTGCTCTCTCTTCTTTCACCCTCATTAAAAGGTTCTTTAATTCCTCCTCACTTTCTGCCATCAATGTTGTGTCATCTGCATATCTGAGGTTGTTGATATTTCTTCCGGCGATCTTAATTCTGTCTTGGGATTCATCCAGCCCAGCCTTTCGCATGATGAATTCTGCATATAAATAAGCAGGGAGACAATATACAGCCTTGTTGTACTCCTTTCCCAATTTTGAACCAATCAGTATCTTACTTTAAACAAAACATATATTTATATGTAACAATTGTTGTAACTCATTGTTGAATAATATCCTTTTAGTCTACTCTACTTTTAGTTTACTATATTATATTTTGCTTGCAATATTTTTTCTTTTGACAGTCAGATAGCAATAAATGTGAACACTGGGAAACTAACAATGGATTTTCCCTCCACCTATCATACTGAATCAATATCCAACTTCAGGACATTCTTGGATGAGAATATCAACAACATGTTGTTTCCAATGGCATTCTCCTCATTATCTGCCAATAATGATGGGAAAGGCAGGAAACTGCTGAAGGCAGGAGATGGTTTTAAAGCAAATGAAAGAGACAAGGAAAGGAAACAAAGGGAATATGTAAGAATACTTTCCTACATAGCTAGCAATATTTCAAATTTCTCCAGTGATTGTTTCCTAGGAATCTAATTGGGAAGTGTTAGTTTAATTTGTCATAATTTCCATGGAATAGGCATGCAATACCAAATGAGCATTTGGGGACAAGGCTGACTCCTTGTAAGCTATTCTTTTCCATGGAACATTTAACTGAGTTAAACAGTGTTGCAGAATTAAGCTTCCATATGCTGAACTGCCAAAATTGTTGTTTAATTAAAATAATTTTAATTTCTTCTGATAGCAATCTTGGGATATTACTAGAGCAAACGTAATAATTAGATAGTTTGGGGATTTGAAAATAAATGATAATCAGCTCATAAATCCTTTTATTAATTTTTGATGGATTGAAAGGCGAAGATCTCATATGTTTGGTTAAAACAAAAGCCTGTGCTTCCTTCTACTGTCTATCTGTCTGTCTATCTTAAAAGGAACTCAGGTATATAGTTGTTCTCCTCCTCTCATTTTATATTTTATTCCATCCGGCAAGGAAGGTTAAACTGAGAAATGGTAGCTGGCCCAAGGTCATCTCATTGAGCTTCATGGCTGAACAAGGATTGGAACTGGAGTTAAAGTAAAGGTAAAGGGTCCCCTGACCATTAGGTCCAGTCGTGACCGACTCTGGGGTTGCGGCGCTCATCTCGCTTTATTGGCTGAGGGAGCCGGCGTACAGCTTCCGGGTCATGTGGCCAGCATGACTAAGCCACTTCTGGCAAACCAGAGCAGCGCACAGAAACACTGTTTACCTTCCCGCCAGAGCGGTACCTATTTATCTACTTGCACTTTGATGTGCTTTCGAACTGCTAGGTTGGCAGGAGCAGGGACTGAGCAACGGGAGCTCACCCCGTCGCGGGGATTTGAACCGCCAACCTTCTGATCGGCAAGCCCTAGGCTCTGTGGTTTAACCCACAGCCCCACCCACATCCCTTTTGGAACTGGAGTTACTTTAGCCTTAACCCAGCCACAACGCTACATTATCCAACCCATCCCACCTTTTTCCTTCCAAGGACCAGCTTTCGCTTCTCTTTTAGTGGCAATACCTAATATTGCCAATACCTAATTGATAGTCTGAAGATGAAGAGAACTAGATGGTGAGGTTCATCATGACACCTCCGTAGCTCGACTTTTCCCTTCCTTGGAGAAACACCAGACCAACTCCATAAGAAGTGATGACCTGAAGTAACTATCCGACGCGTTTTGGGCTGGATCTAGACACATCAAAGAAGCGTTTCAGTTTAAAAGCGTAGTAAATTTAAACAGGAAAAATGGGTAGAGAAACAACGGACTCCACGTCAACCATCTGGTGGCACAATGTTATATCGCAAATGTGACGCATACGAATCACTTTTTCTTTACCAGTCTAGCTGAGTCCTTGGATGACGCCAGTCAGTGGAGTCACAGCAACAGGCCCTTCCGCTGCTAGGATGGAGGAGAAGGGTGTAGGGAAGAAGGGAAGCAGTGAATGGGGGGCAGCAAATGGGAGAGAAGCAGCTGGAGTGGGGCGTGGGATCATGGGAAATGGTGGAAGTGACTGTGGCGATGGGCAATGGGAAAGGGAAAATTGGAGTAGAAGGGGAAGAAATGGAGGCAGTGAGAGATTTTACTTTCTTGGGCTCCATGATCACTGCAGATGGTGACAGCAGTCACGAAATCAAAAGATGCCTGCTTCTTGGGAGAAAAGCGATGACAAACCTAGACAGCATCTTAAAAAGCAGAGACATCACCTTGCCAACAAAGGTCCGTATAGTTAAAGCTATGGTTTTCCCAGTAGTGATGTATAGAAGTGAGAGCTGGACCATAAAGAAGGCTGATGGCTGAAGAATTGATGCTTTTGAATTATGGTGCTGGAGGAGACTCTTGAGAATCCCATGGAAGAAGATCAAACCTATCCATTCTGAAGGAAATCAGCCCTGAGTGCTGACTGGAAGGACAGATCCTGAAGCTGAGGCTCCAAGACTTTGGCCACCTCATGAGAAGAGAAGACTCCCTGGAAAAGACCCTGATGTTGGGAAAGATGGAGGGCACAAGGAGAAGGGAATGACAGAGGACGAGATGGTTGGACAGTGTTCTTGAGGCTACCAGCATGAGTTTGACCAAACTGCGGGAGGTAGTGAAAGACAGGAGTGCCTGGCATGCTCTGGTACATGGGGTCATGAAGAGTTGGACACTAAACGACAAGTGTTGCTCAAATTACTAGCGAGCGGGCAACCTCTTTATTCTGCCTTGTTTCCTTACCTACTGCTTTTAGAATAAGCCTCCACCGTGCACTTTGCATGGGGAAATGTCCCGCCTCTGGGAAACTGAATTCAAGAGCTGAGTTGAAGCTGACTAAAGCCACTGCAGAGTGCAGGAGGGAGGAAGCAAGAAACAGCTGGAGCTGGGCTGGCTTCCAAGACAAAACATTCATGATTGATGACTAAAAGCGAGTCCGTATAGGGCCCTTTATTTCAGGGTTTTATTAACTCTTTAGCTGTTTTCCTATTTCAATATGGGAAAAGACATTGGCAGGAATGCAATTTATTGCTAACCAGGCAGATTGAAGCTCTCTTTTTTTTTCCTTTTTTTAAAAATAATATTATATTGATTCTCCAAAAACAAAAAACAACAATATAAGAACAAAACAAAACAAATTGACTTCCCTCTAATCCCTTCCCTGGTTCCATTATTTGTTAACATGTTGCATGTCCATTGTTAAATTTATAACATATTTAAATCACCTATTATCCATTCATTGTAAAATTACATGTAAACTTAAACCCCTGCTAATGTATTAACCTGTGTCTATTGCTTCTGTTTATATGCAATAAACATCTTCCACTCTTCCTTAAATTCATTGCCGTCGCTTCCTCTTAATTTCATCATCAATTTTGCCATTTCAGCATAGTCCATTAGTTTGACTTGCCAATCTTCTTTAGATGGGACATCTTCTTCTTTCCAATATAGTGCTATTAAGGTGTGGCTGTTGTAGCAAGTTATTTTGTAATTTTGGTAGGTCCGCTCCTACAATACCTAATAAGAAAGCTTCTGGTTTTTAAACAAATGTTATTTTAAACATCTTCTTCAATTCATTATAAATCATTTCCCAATATTTCTTTATAATTTTGCAATCCCACTACATATGAAAAAATGTCCCCTCTGTTGCTTTACATTTCCAACACTTGCTTCCCTCAGTTTTAT